ATTGATATAATGGCTATTATATCTATGTCTATACATTCTTAATTACTTCTTTGCATTCCCCTGAGTGTTAATTTATCATTCTTAATTATGACCATGGAAGTAATATTTAAATATTATCAATATTACTTCCATGTTATGACTGACAACTGGACATTAATTTTCTGATACGATGATCTATAAAACATCAATTTCACCCGCTGCTGCTAACCACAAACTATTTAGACAAACGGTAACTGAGGTGTCATGATAAGTAACAGTATTTATACCAGGATTGAAAGTACACGAAGCACTACAGTCCTTCTTTGCATACTCCAAACAACAGACTTCGAAGATGAATTTCTCAAAAAAATACAATGGATTTTCAAAATATTCAACTCATTAAAAAGCTAAAATATTCCTCTTTCTTAATCTATTATAAAGTTTTTAGTATGATCAATTAAAAAGTAAATCTCATTAACTGCCAAAAATAGTGCTATTCCAACTTGGATGAAAATAGTAGATTCAGGTCATATTATAGAATACACTTGTTTTCGTTCCTTTAATTGACCAGACACATACTACAAAACCGTATCTAAGAATATTTATATATGCCTATGGTTAGATGATATATTGTTTTAACTGCTGGGTGCCAAATCACATTTCACCCAGAAACAATTTACCCAAATAATGTATTGTGCAAGTATCTCTTTAGCTAAATTTAGAAAAGCTAAACCGAAGGAAGAACCAATGAAGTTTCTATTTTCAAATTTTGAAAACTATTCTCATGAAAAATTGTAAAATAATTCCCTCAAAGTTGCATTCCCCCTTGAAACCCCATAAATGCAACATAAATGTCAAAATTCTATGGTAAATCAGCAATAGAAAATGGCAAATAAAAGGAAATGTGGACACTGTAAATTAACTGGACATTGTAAATAAAAAAAAAATGGGAAAACTACATGCCCAGCATTGCCTTAACAATAAATTATGAGGATTATTAAATATATATATTTAAAATCCTTTACTTCATTATTTATTAAAGAGATATGTTGACAGGGTATAATTTCTTTGTGTTAATTGTTTAAGGAAGTTCGCTACTCAGTTTCAAAATAACAAGCTTTTCATAACACTAGTATATATTGATAGGAGATTAGTAAAGGAACCAAATGAGCGGAAACAAAATATAGGTCCGTGTGCTCGTTTTCGAGATATTGGCCATTGAAATTTTGGCGGGAAAATGTTCTCTCTTGATTCTTCATAGCTTTATCATTGACGAGTTTAAGTTCACAAAAACTTTTAAAAAATAACATAGATTTTATACAGATGGCTTATAATTATACATGTAAAAGAGTTATAAAAAGAAAAATGGTGGTTAGTGGGCAAAATGTTTGAAGGCATTCAAATGGATAAAACCAGAGGATTCCGAAAATCTGACAAAAATTCCAAAACATGCCAAGCGAACATCCTTAAGCCTAGATATATAAAAAAAATAATTTTCACCAAATACCAGAAACAAGGGCAAAATTGTCACTTTTCACTATAAAGATGGAACATTACACAAGGCCATTTCTTGTATAATACTACAGCCCGTATCACTCTGAAACTTTGCAGTAATGTTTCTCTTACACATAGGTACTTATAGCATTAAAAAAAATTCTCATTTTGCACCATAACATCATCATCTAAGTTAAGTTGTGTGTTTTTTGTTTTGTTTTGTTTTGTTTTGTTTTTTGTTTGTTTGTTTTTTATTAATCTATTTCCTTGTTTCTTGTTTTCTTTTTTTTTCTCTTTTTCTTTTGTGCCACTTAATTTTTCCGTCCAATTTATGCAAATGTTGAAATAACGTGTAATGTATGTATGCTCTTATATATTGTATTGTTAAATATGTTAATGGAGCTCGAGAAAATTTCATAAGTCTGTTTGACTCAAGTTGTTTCTCATCCAAATTGTGTTTATGCAAATAACATATGTTTAAACTAAATCAGCTCAAGACCAAATGACATGGATGTTTGATGATTGATTACTTTTAAACGTCCAGTGGCAAGTTAAATGCAAGTTCAGAACTATACATATCAATAGGATATATAAATAAGACTGTAACGCCCAGTCGGACTTTTAGCGTGCTAGTGTATCCTCCCTAAACCTGGCATAAAACATCGATTATTGTAGAAGGGTAAAAGCGCAAATTTAAATGTGCGAGTTGTGAAATATATAATTTTTTGAAATCGTACATATCTTTCTTTTTGTTTTGAAATCCGTTACTTGTGTTCCACATATCAATCGATTGTTGCATCTAGTAATCAATAAACCAAAACTACTTTTGCTGTTGATCTTGTTAAAGAATGTGTTAGATCCGGAGTCCACACAGGGACAAAAAGAAAAAGAAAATTAATCCGTGATCCGCCACTAATTCTCAATCCTAACTTATTACACATATCGGTCATAAATCGGAAGAGGATACTGAATCCACATTTGCAATAATACATTATAAGGAAATTTACATGTTGAAGTGATTTATTAAAAATCATTGAATTAAAGGATAGAATATTTGAATAACATCAACAATTTCATTCAGTTATATAGAGAAATGTACAATAGATTTCATGTCTGTCTTATGGGAGAAATACGGAAGAGGACAATTTTCCTTTTCTTATTTGGAAATTAGTCAAAAATATTTATTAAAGAGATCACATGTCTCGGGTTTCACCAATCGAATAATCATTTATAAAGTCTTGTAGGAGTGGAATATATATGGAATTGCCGCGTGTTCAACACTCGAAACATGTGGGCGTTTGGCAAATATTATATGCTGATGATACTGTTTTGATGGCCGAAACACCACAAGATCTTCAAATACAGTTACATATTTTTAATGAATACTGTAAATACTGGAAACTAAAAGTTAATGTATCTAAAACCAAAATATTATGTTTTTCAAGTGGAAGATTACCAGACAATTAACACTTTGTTTTAGATAATCAAGAGATAAAAATCGTTCAAGAGTTTAGTTATTTGGGTATTTTATTGACAAAAATGGGAAATTATAAAAAGACAATTAAATCACAAGTTGAAAAAGGGACAAAAGCGATGTACGAGATACTAAAAAGGGGAAAATGTCATAGCCTATCTGTTTCTTGTCAGTTAGATCTTTTTGATAGAGTAGTCAAACCTGTTCTGTTATATGGATCAGAAATATTGGGATTCAGTAACTGTGATATTATCGAAAAGGTTCATCTAACATTTTGTAAGTTGCTCCTAAATCTGAAATCTTCCATCCCCCAACTGTATGATATATGGTGAGCTAGGACGTTGTCCACTTGCTATTGATGTGAAATTAAGGATGATATCCTACTGTTCGAAATTGATTATGGGAAAGCAGTCAAAGTATTCTTGTATTATTTATAAACTACTGTACCACTTGTATTGTACTAAAAACATAGATTTTAAATGGTTAATATTTGTTAATCCACATTCATCAAATATACGTTAAGCGTATATTTGATGAATGTGGATTTTCTTATATCTGGAACACACAGTACTTTTTAAATGATGTATGGTTGAAATATAATATCAAAGCAAGATTGTGTGATCAATTCAAACAAACATGGAACGAGACTATTCAAAACTGTTCCAAAGCCTTGAATTATCGAATTTTTAAGAATTTATTGTGTTTTGAAGAATATTTTAATATTTTAGACGAAAAAGATTTTTGACATTATGTAAATTTAAAATATGTAACCATAAACTTCCAGTCGAACTTGGAAGATGGTACAATATAGAAAGGGAAAAAAGAAAGTGTAATTTATGTAATCTAGATATTGGAGATGAATTCCATTACATTATAAATTGTTCTAATTTAAAAGAAGAGAGAAATAAATTTATAAATCGAAATTTTAATAGAAGGCCAAATATTATACTATTTACTGAAATTATGTCGTCTACAAATAAAACAGATCTCATAAATTTATGTAAGTTTATACGAATTATAAACAAGCGAGTGTGTCCTCCTGAATAAATTCTTTTTCTTTTTTGTTGTTGTTGTTGTTTGTACATGTATATATTGTATATTTATGTTTATGTATTTAATGTATTATATAACATGTCTTCTCTGTACCTATGTATTTGGTGATGAGAATAAAAGATATCAAACAAATACCCCCCCCCCCCCCCATAATTTGCAAAGCATGAGTTGTCCTCAGCTTAATAAAGAATATTTCGATAATTTTACCTCAAAAAAATTTTCGCCGAGCTGATCCGCCCCTGAATAGCGGTTAACCAGTATATAAATAGCGATTCGCCGACAAATATATAGCGGTTAACCGTTAAAAATAGTCAGAGGCGGATTTAGGGGGGGGGCAGGGGGCCCGGGCCCCCCTTTTGCGGGAAAAATTTGGTTGATTATATAGGGAATCACTGAAGCGTGACTGGAGCGGGCCCCCTCTTAGGCAGTCAGTGGGCCCCCTCTTATTAAAATTTCTGGATCCGCCTCTGATAGTGGTTAACCGTTATATAAATAGCGATTAACCGATTTTTGAACCAAATGGTACACAAAGGGGTTCATCGAATTCACAACCTCAGTGTTGACAGGTTAGTGATTACTGTAGATGAACTACTTAGACATATCGACCACCAAGGCTCTGACAATTCGTTAAATAAGTTCAAATACACTTGCACATTCCAAAATATTGTCATTTTCTTCTTCAGTTAAATTCAGTGTGTCTCTTTACAAAAACTAATTGTCAGATATTAACTTGTCAGATATTAACTTGTCAGATATTTTAGTCCCCTTTGCAGATTTTTAGGTCGACATGTGAGACAATTATCTGACAAGAAGGAGGCAGATACATGCCATCATAGTTGGTGCTGTCTCTCTGAATTCTTTCATTCGTATAACTCTTAAAAAAATAATTAATTCATGATCTAAAATCATATAATGAGCAAAAGTATTTCCAAACGCATGTAATAAATGTCAGTAAATTTCATAACAGACTATGCATGATATATGATAAGTTAAACCGATCTTCATTTTATATGTTTATTAACATGCTTATAAAATACAAATCAAGGTATCAGTCTGACACATGCAAACTGCAAATATTTAAATAAAAAAACAACCGACTGGTTTTAATATAAGTTACAATACATAATACCCCTTACATTAATTACATAGAGGGAATGTATACAGAATGTTTCAAAATTATCATGAAATATTATACTACAATTCAAAAATAAAAACATGTGGCAATATAAATAAACTGCTTCGCTGAGCGCAGCTGGATACGCCCGCAGAGGTCCAACCCTGAACAGTTGGGGCAAAAATGGACACAATATTCAAGCTTGACACAGGTCTGAATTTGGATTGTAATTAAATATTTGACATATTATAGGTTTCTGATAAATGTAGTCAAAGAACTTGAAACTGGTTATAGGAATTGAATTTATATTCAATTAAAGATTTCTTGCAGTTGTGCAATACACTGTGCTGTTACGAAATACTTAGTAAATCTGTTGTCAGACTATAAACAAATAAAGTTCAATTTCTTCTTAATGTCATATTTAAAATTTATGAAAATCAATTGGGAAATTACATCAATAGCTATAAATATTTCACGAAAGTTTCATGAGAACTGCTGAAAGCATTTTTGAGTTATTGTCCAAAAACTGGAAAATCCCCCCTTTTTTAATGAATAAAACCCCACAACTCAAAATGTAAAATCTAAAATTTATAAAATTCTAAAGAGAGCTTACATCAACAGATATAAACAATTCACCAAAGTTTCATGAGAACTGCTGAAAGCATTTTTTAGTTATTGTCCGAAAACTGGAAGATCACCCTTTTTTATGAATAAAACCCTGCAACTCGGAAACGTAAAATCTAAAATTTATAAAAATCGAAAGGGAGCTCATGTCAATAGATATAAACAATTCACCAAAATTTCTTGCAAGTTGGTGAAAGCATTCTTGAGTTAATGTTGGAAAACTGGAAAATCACCCCTTTTTTAATAAATAAAACCCCAAAACTCGGAAACGGGAATTCTGAAATTTATAAAAAACAAAAGGGAGCTCACGTCAATAGATATAAACAATTCACCAAAGTTTCAATCATATTGGTTAAAGCTTTTTTGAGTTAATGTCCGACATGTTGACGACGGACGGACGGACAGACGGTTAACGGTATACCATAATACGTCCCGTAAACGGGCGTATAAAAAAAAATAATTCTATAAAAAATTCAAAGCCAGACAAAATGGTTATTTTACATATCACAGACAAAGGGAAAATTAAGTAGATTTATTGTACAACCAATGAATAGAAAACTACATTGTGTGTGTACAGTATAATGTGTTCAGCACTTCAGCGCAACGATCTAAGTGTGTAGGAGAAACAAGAACTTTGGTTACCTAGCTAGCCAACTGAATCATAAAATCACCATTAGCTCAGGTACTACCTTCCTTTGAGATAAGTTAATTGTTAAAGAGACTATGACAGTAAATAGGAACAGCATAGAACATTGTGAAACCAGTTTTACATGAACAAAATTTTAAAATCTGATGTCAATTATATGCCTATTTACAAACCTGTTGTGTTTGGTTTGTCAATTATATGCCTATTTACAAACCTGTTGTGTGTTTGGTTTGTCAATTATATGCCTATTTACAAACCTGTTGTGTGTTTGGTTTGTCAATAATATGCCTATTTACAAACCTGTTGTGTGTTAGGTTTGTCAATTATATGCCTATTTACAAACCTGTTGTGTGTTTGGTTTGTCAATTATATGCCTATTTACAAACCTGTTGTGTGTTTGGTTTGTCAAATATATGCCTATTTACAAACCTGTTGTGTATTTGGTTTGCCAAATATATGCCTATTTACAAACCTGTTGTGTGTTTGGTTTGTCAATTATATGCCTATTTACAAACCTGTTGTGTGTTTGGTTTGTCAATTATATGCCTATTTACAAACCTGTTGTGTATTTGGTTTGCCAATTATATGCCTACTTACAAACCTGTTGTAGGTGTATTTGGTATGTCAATTTATTGACTGTCATTTACATCTGATATTTTACTTAAATCAGTAACACATGCATCCCTTTACAGTCAGGATTCTACTTTGTCAAAATTTTCTCCCCATTACGCCAGTTCATTTTTACAATCGTAAAAATGGAAGCCATTGTAGAGATGACGCGCTTCCAATTTAGCTCTTGAAAACCGATAAATTTATCCACATAGCACCATTACGATCCTTATATGCCAGGTGTATTTTAAAGACAAATGTATCTACTAGCTAATGAGCATCAGTTAATGTACTTGTCTGCATTCAGTCAACTTAAAACTATTGTCGGATCGGTTGTCAGGTCGAATTTTCGGAAATTCATAAACATTTAAAAAAAAATCTAAATAAATATTTCGTGGAAGGGCAGACTAAAAATTTTCAGCGGTTGAAGACTATAAACCCTAATTATCACACACAAAAAAATGAAATTTTTTCGAAGATATGCATTTTTAAGATCCAACTTAAAAGTCAGTCGTCAAGTACTTTTAGTAAAAATTTGCTATTCGAACACACCTACTCTGCTTTTGTGATTCATTATAGAAAGGTATTTCACTTGACCCATATATTTTTTAGTACTGTGAACTTTCGATGTTATAAAGTCAACATGTAGCCTTGATATATAAAAATAATAGAATCTGAAGTGAGATGATGTATCAAATACTCTTGCTTTATACGTTTTCAAGACAAAATATTTAACTCAAACACGCCCTTACATAAAAAGGTGCACTCGATTTAATCTTTTCGATGCAATTGTGACCCATTTTTTTGAATTTTTTCTTGAGTTAAATAATGGAAGGGCAGAAACGAAAATTAAGGAACAAATAGATTGATATGTTCTCCGTCCGTGGTAAAAAAAAATAAAAATCGGAGGTTATGCATTTTTTTTAGATCCAACTGAATAGTCAGCCATATCGTCGACTTGATATCTAATTGTTCTGCTAAATTATGTAATAGATAAATTGAAAACTTATGCAAATTGTGTTTTTATGATAAAATACTTCGTAATTTAGCCGAAAACTCATTTTATTTGTTTCTATTAACTTTTAAAAAATTTGTTACTATAGTAAACATTACAGTAAGCATTTATCGCCTTCTCTAACAAAGAGCTTCGATTCTTTGTTTAGTGTAAGCATGAGTTTTTTAAATCCACTATAGAAATAATTTTTATAAATAATGGAAAGTAAATAACTGAAAACAGAACTTCTAAAACATTTTTATTTTGTTTTCTCCGATAAAACAATTAATTTTATTCGCACTTGATTGTTTGTCAAGCCAAACCTGTAGAATTTGGTTTTGTTTGATTGGCTGACCTTGATGTTTACATTTCACAATGCATCCAAGTAAAATATTTCTTTGAAAGGTGTCCAAAAGTATATATAACTTACTTCACAAATTTAAACTATGTCAAACTGAGATTTATTATCAACTAGAAGTGAAAATTAAAAAGACATGCTCTGTGTTCCTCCTGAAACAAATAATTTGTTTAAAAAAAAGGCCTGCCACTAATGAGATAATACTGATTTCCTGGTTCAGCCAGCCAGTAAGTTATTCTAATCCCTTTTTTCCCTAAACACTCAAATCTAAGCACTGTAGGTTAAAAAATTTGTAAGGGTTCCGCGGAACCCAGTGTCTCGCCTACTTTTGCTGTTGTCTATGTTTTCAGTGTGATAGGGGAATGCACATAATAGATTTACAGTTAATGAAATAAAACGTTTTAAATGTATGAAAAAAGTTATACTTATAAAAAATGAATACAGTATGCAATCCAATCTATATATTGTCTGGAAGACAAAAGTCGCAGGCTCAACAAAAATGGGGAAAAAGTTATTAAAAATGTTCCTCTAGATACTATCTTTTGATTGTAAGAAGCTTCTGTCCAAGTTTGGTAAAAATCCAGGTTGGTTTATGAATCTAATAAATGTTTTAAAAACTTTAACTGCAGACTGTATGTAATGTTAACTGGAAGAAAAACTCAAGTCCATTTATAAGTAATATACGGAAAAACAGGAAATAATTTTTTACAAAATTTCCTTCTACGTACTAGCTTTTGATCATAAACAAGCTTCTGTCCAAGTTTAGTAGAAATCCAGGATAGTTTAAGAAAGTAATTAAAATTTTTAAAACTTTAACCACAGAGTGACTGTAATGTTAACTGACAGAATAAAATGCTCCGCTGGGCGCAGCTTGATACGACCGCAGAGGTCGAACCTTGAACATTTGGGACAAGTATGGACACAACATTCAAGCTTGATACAGCTCTGAATTTGGATTGTGATTAAATATTTGACACAGCATAGGTTTTTGACACAGAATGAATGTGGTCTAAGAACTTAAAAATTTTTGATTTACCTATTCAAACCATATCATTATTATTTGCTTTTATATATAAATCAGAAATAACCAATTTAAAACGGAAAATTTTAAAGAAAAAAAAGGGAAAAAAAAATCCCCCCCCCCAAATTTTTTGAACCCCCTTATGATTCATCACCCCCAAACTCAATCCCAGCCTTCCCTTTGTGGTATGGTACCTTGCAGTACAATTTCAGAGAGATCCATACACTTGAACACAAGTTATTGTCTGGAAACTAGAAAAATGCTTGTTTTTTGGCCCCAAATTCCTAAATGTTTAGGGCAATTACCCCCAAACTCAAACCCAGCTTCCCCTTTGTGATATGGAACCTTGTAGTACAATTTCATAAAGATCCATACACTTACAAACAAGTTATTGTCCAGAAACTAGAAACATGCTTGTTTTTTGCCCCTTTTTTGCCCCTAATTCCTAAAATTTTGAGGCAATTACCCCCAAAATCAATCCCAGCCTTCCATTTGTGGTATGGTACCTTGCAGTACAATTTCAGAAAGATCCATACACTTGAACACAAGTTATTCTCTGGAAACTAGAAAAATGCTTATTTTTGGCCCCTTATTCCTAAACATTTCAGGCAATTACCCCGAAACTCAATTCCAGCTTTCCCTTTGTGATATGGAACCTCGTAGTACAATTTCAGAAAGATCCATACACTTACACACAAGTTATTGTCATGAAACTAGAAAAATGCTTGTTTTTTGCCCCCTTTTTGGCCCATAATTCCTAAAATTTTGAGGCAATTACCCCCAAAATCAATCCCAGCATTCCCTTTGTGTTATGGAACCTTGTGGTACAATGTCAGAGAAATCCCTACACTAACACACAAGTTATGTCTGGAAGTTACAAAAAATCTAATTTTTGGCCCCTTATTCCTTAACTGTTGGTATCATAACCCCCAAAATTAATTCCAACCTTCCTTTTGTGGTATTAAACCTTGTGGTAAAATTTCATAGAGATCCATTCACTTAAACTAAAGTTAGAGTGCGAAAACCAATGTGTCTTCGGAACACGACGACGACGCCGGACGACGACGACGACGCCAACGTCATACCAATATACGACCGCAAAATTTTTTTGCGGTCGTATAAAAACTAAGTCCATTTATAAAAGTAATATACGGAAAAACAGGAAATAAATTTTTACAAAATTTCCTTCTACGTACTAGCTTTTGATCATAAACAAGCTTCTGTCCAAGTTTGGTAGAAATCCAGGATAGTTTAAGAAAGTTATTAAAATTTCAAAAAAAATAACCACAGAATGAATATTTGTGGACGCCGCCGACGACGACAGAACGTAGGATCGCTTTCTCGCTTTTGCGACAAAAATCGCAGGCTCGACAAAAATCATCCAAAATAAATGTCTTTCTCATTTTGAAAGTCCTCATTGATAAATGAAAGATTTGTTTTTCGGTCCCATCTCTCAAAACTTCTTCCTTGAAGTTAACCTCAAGTTTCCAAATGAGGCAATATCATCTGATCAACAGCTTTCTTTCTCTCTCCCTCTCACTGTATATCTATCTGTATATATATAATATATTATTAATGAGATTTTCACAAGATCACATGATTATTTATATTCCCATAGGCTGCATGGCAATGCAACATTCTATATCAAGTGTTTTGTAGATATTAAACAGCATCCAGCATGCTCGTGTGTGTTCAAGACAACCAATGAAACACAGTTCAAATGTATTGAAAAATCTTCCCAAAAATAGTATGAAATTTCAAATGTTTAATTGTTAGTTCTTATTGAATAGTCTCATTTTTAACCAGTTTATATGAAATGATGTTAAATTAAAATAAAATGCTTCGCTGGGGCGCAGCTTGATACGACCGCAGAGGTCGAACCCTGAACAGTTGGGGCAAGTATGGACACAACATTCAAGCTTGATACAGCTCTGAATTTGGATTGTTATTAAATATTTGACACAGCATAGGTTTCTGACACAGAAAGAATGTGGTCTAAGAACTTGAATTTTTTTAATTTACCTATTATGGTCCAATGTCCAAAATCAAAATACATGGTTAGATTCAGCATATCAAAGAACACCATATATTCAATTTTTGTTAAAATCAAACAAAGTTTAATTTTGGACCCCAACTTGGACAAACTTGAAAACTGGGCCCATAATCAAAAATCTAAACACATGTTTAGATTCAGCATATCAAAGAACCCCAAGAATTCAATTTTTGCTAAATTCAAACTAAGTTTAATTTGGACCCTTTGGACCTTAATGTAGACCAATTTAAAAAACGGGACTTAAAATTAAAAATCTAAATACACGGTTAGATTTGGAATATCAAAAAAACCCAATAATTCAATTTTTGATGAAATCAAACAAAGTTTAATTTTGGACCCTTTTGACCTCAATATGAACCAATTTGATAGCGGGGCCCACAAATAAAAATTCTAAATTCATGGTTAGATTCAGCATATCAAAGAACCCCATATATTCAATTTTTGTTGAAATAAAAAAAAGTTTAATTTTGGACCCCAACTTGGACCAACTTGAAAACTGGGCCCATAATCAAAAATCTAAATACATGTTTAGATTCAGCATATCAAAGAACCCCAAGAATTCAATTTTTGTTAAAATCAAACTAAGTTTAATTTTGGACCCTTTGGACCTCAATGAAGACCAATTTAAAAAACGGGACCCAAATTAAAAATCTAAAAACACGGTTAGATTTGGCATATCAAAGAACCCCAATAATTCAATTTTCGATGAAATCAAACAAAGTTTAATTTTGGACCCTTTTGACCTCAATATGAACCAATTTGATAGCGGGGCCTACAAATAAAAAATCTAAATACATGGTTAGATTCAGCATATCAAAGAACATCATATATTCAATTTTTGTTGAAATCATACAAAGTTTAATTTTGGACCCCAATTTGGACCAACTTGAAAACTGGGCCCATAATCAAAAATCTAAATACATGTTTAGATTCAGCATATCAAAGAACCCCATATATTCAATTTTTGTTGAAATCAAACAAAGTTTAAATACTGGACCCTATCTTGGACCAACTTGAAAACTGGGCCCATAATCAAAAATCTAAACACATGTTTAGATTCAGCAAATCAAAGAACCCCAAGAATTCAATTTTTGTTAAAATCAAACTAAGTTTAATTTTGGACCCTTTGGACCTCAATGTAGACCAATTTAAAAAACAGGACCCAAAATTAAGAACCTAAATACACGGTTAGATTTGGAATATCAAAGAACCCCAATAATTCAATTTTAGATGAAATCAAACAAAGTTTAATTTTGGACCCTTTTGACCTCAATATGAACCAATTAGATAACGGGGTCCACAAATAAAAAATCTAAATACATGGTTAGATTCAGCATATCAAAGAACCCCATATATTCAATTTTTGTTGAAATCAAACAAAGTTTAATTTTGGACCCCAATTTGGACCAACTTGAAAACTGGGCCAAAAATCAAAAATCTAAATACATGTTTAGATTCAGCATATCAAAGAACCCCAAGAATTCAATTTTTGTTAAAATCAAACTAAGTTTAATTTTGGACCCTTTGGACCTCAATGAAGACCAATTTAAAAAACGGGACCCAAATTAAAAATCTAAAAACACGGTTAGATTTGGCATATCAAAGAACCCCAATAATTCAATTTTCGATGAAATCAAACAAAGTTTAATTTTGGACCCTTTTGACCTCAATATGAACCAATTTGATAGCGGGGCCTACAAATAAAAAATCTAAATACATGGTTAGATTCAGCATATCAAAGAACATCATATATTCAATTTTTGTTGAAATCATACAAAGTTTAATTTTGGACCCCAATTTGGACCAACTTGAAAACTGGGCCCATAATCAAAAATCTAAATACATGTTTAGATTCAGCATATCAAAGAACCCCATATATTCAATTTTTGTTGAAATCAAACAAAGTTTAAATACTGGACCCTATCTTGGACCAACTTGAAAACTGGGCCCATAATCAAAAATCTAAACACATGTTTAGATTCAGCAAATCAAAGAACCCCAAGAATTCAATTTTTGTTAAAATCAAACTAAGTTTAATTTTGGACCCTTTGGACCTCAATGTAGACCAATTTAAAAAACAGGACCCAAAATTAAGAACCTAAATACACGGTTAGATTTGGAATATCAAAGAACCCCAATAATTCAATTTTAGATGAAATCAAACAAAGTTTAATTTTGGACCCTTTTGACCTCAATATGAACCAATTAGATAACGGGGTCCACAAATAAAAAATCTAAATACATGGTTAGATTCAGCATATCAAAGAACCCCATATATTCAATTTTTGTTGAAATCAAACAAAGTTTAATTTTGGACCCCAATTTGGACCAACTTGAAAACTGGGCCAAAAATCAAAAATCTAAATACATGTTTAGATTCAGCATATCAAAGAACCTCATATATTCAATTTTTGCTAAAATCAAACAAAGTTTAATTTTGGACCCTTTGGACATTAATGTAGACCAATTTGAAAACTGGACCCAAAATTAAAAATCTAAATACACTGTTAGATTCGGCATAACAAATAAATAAATGTGATCAAAGATTTTACAAATCTAATGCGCCATACTGTGCAATTAAAGATTACTTCTTGAAATTTTTCAATATTTGAAATTTGAAAAAAAAATAATATTTGAAGAATAATTCTTTTTAATTTCTGAAATCTGAAATGAGAAAAAATTGGCCCCCCACAATTTCTTTTTATCCCCCCCCCCCCCCCTTTTTCCCCCCAAAAAATTCTTTCCCTCAAGATATGGTCATAATCTCAATTCAAATTTCCAATGGAGTTGGCAACCATAATTACCCATTTAAATTTACCATAGTGCTAACTTAATCTATTTTATAATAGAATTAATAAAAATATAGTGTCAAATCTTTCATATGGATTTTTTTGTAAAAAAAAAAGATGAAAACATTTGCAGATATTTTTACTGGTCTTCCTTTATAAATATGCATTTCTTTAAACATAATTTAAAAGCAGAGTAAGGGAAGTAACCAAAACGTTGTATTTGGATTACCTCCCTTACACTGTTTTAGATTATCTTTATTGTTCATTAACCATTACTTTATACATAATTTAAAAGCAGTGTAAGGGAGATAATTTCAATGATGTATTTGATTTATCTCCCTTACACTGCTTTAAATTATGTTTTGTACTAAAGTATTTGTCCATTAACCAGGACAACCTTGTTTTTCCCCCTTTTTTGCCCCTAATTCCTAAACGGTTTGAGCCATAACCCCCCAAAGCAAATCCTAACCATCCCTTTGTGGTATGGAAACTTGTAGTATAATTTCAGAGAGATCCATACACCGTTCCACAGTTATTGTCTGGAAACTAGAAAATGCTCATTTTTGGCCCCTTTTTGGCCCCTAATTCCTTAACTGTTGGTACCATAACCCCCAAAATCAATCCCAACCTTCCTTTTGTGGTATTTAACCTTATAGTCAAATTTCAAAAAGATCCATTCACTTAAACTAAAGTTAGAGTGCGAAAACCAATATGTATTCGGACGACGACGCCGGACGACGACGACGACGACGACGCCGGACGACGACGACGACGACGACGACGCCAACGTCATACCAATATACGACCACAAAATTTTTTTGCGGTCGTATAACAACTAAAATGTTAGTGTTATTATGAGATCAATACAGTAATTGAATAATTGTGTTGCTGTCATCCTTGACAAAAGTTACATTTTTGTGGAGTAATAATATGATAATTATAGCTTCCATCCTCTGTCAATACAACAGCAAATAGACCCTGGACTTCATCCTCTATCAATATGTGTCTGCTATGTCTATATAACATAGAATTGTATATTATCACATCTATACCAAAAAATACTCAAAGATACAGTTTACACAATTTTCCTTACTTGAGTAAGTAACAGTGGCTCTTTTCACAAAAGTCATGAAGATTTTTTGTGAAGAGTTGTAGAAAAAAAATATTACAAAAACAAATCTTTTATTTGCGATTCATTATATTTCTTTTAACTGCACCTATTCTTTCTTTTTATTTTTCTTTGTTTCATTTGTGAAAAAGTGCCAATTAAATGCAAAAACTGGATGTCATATTACTACATTAAACAGCATGCCTATTTTTATAAGTTACTGCTGTATATAAATGTTATATGGCAGACCATATAACAGTTCCCCGACAAGAAACAATGGACAGTTTCTTAACTTAAATTAAAGTTATATAGCCTGTTACATGAAAAGTGATCAGGTATATGCACCAGTGTCTATTTATATATATATATATATCTTTTCTTTTTGACAACATAACTAAAGGATATTTATTTTATGCAACTTTCTCTTCTGGCAACATAGGAATAGGATCTAACTGAACTTGTCTGACTTTATAAGGTATATGTCTCATTAATGCTTCATATTTAATGGCATTCTGTTTACGCTCTTCTTGCAACCAATATAACATTTCTATTCTGTCCCATTTCATCTTCTCTTCATAAGAGCGACCCTGAAATTTAACAAAACATTCGGTAAATTATCAGCTAGTGAATACTTTCTTATATCATTTTATGTCTCATTTTGTCTCATGTAAAAAGATAATACTTTACTGGCATGTATCTAATATCTAACTCGAAAAGCTCAATTCATAAATTATAGGTACCTGTAAATAAATACATATAAGAGGTTATTTTTCACTCCAGGAAGCAATTATACACAAATTCAATGCAAATGGAATAGTCTTCCATTGTACATGTTCATTTATCCTTCTTTCATGGAAAGCTTTGTTTTACCATGTTTTAAGTTATGCATAAAGATGCACTGTTTTTGCCTATAGTCGCTTGTTGAACTATAACTGATGATCGAAAAAATAATGCATTTATCTATCATCTTCTGAATTACTAAATGAGTTCTTTTAAAATAGGTGAACAATTGTATAGAAATTTGTCTAAAAATCGGTATTGGTCTTGTTTCAATTTTAGTTCATCATTCAAATTTGTATGCAAAATTTTACCAAAATCATTGACATAGCCAATGTACTGTACCTTGATGGTAACCCATTCCATTCAGAGGGTTATGATAAAGAAACTTTATTAAATTCTTTCATAGATACAAAGATATTGTGGCGATTTTGGATGATACATGTAGAAGTGCCAACATTGTTGATATTGTTTATTTTTGGGGGACAAATATTTATGTAACATTGTGAATAATTTATGTATAATGAAGACCATATGTTACTTGAAGTGTGTTGACATTATTCGTCTTTAATTTTGAAAACTTGACTAGTACGCATTATATAATATTAAATGTGTATATGTTATCATTATTTAGTTACCTGTTATATATAATCATTTTTTTAATATCGTATAATCCAGTAAAAAAGAAAATGTGTTTTTTTCTTAGCGGCAGCACTGCAACAAGGTGTAAACAAGGTTGCTTTTATTGGAAGTTTTAGTGTATTATTTTGAAACATGTGAAAGACATCGTAGTATTTTTTAGACAGTATTAAAATTATATTTCTGTATGTTTTAAGAATATTGATAGATGTAAAACTATTTTATGTAAAATAAGGTAGAATAGAGTTGTATTTAAATTAGAGAAGTTGCTCTATATAAACTACTGTGAACCAACTTATTTTCGCGGATACTTTATTTTGCGTTTAACACTTTCTAGTCCACTTTGCGGCTATTTAATTTCGCGATTTTCTAATTTACTTGATGTAATATAATAAGGGAAGATCCAAGTGTTACATATTCGCGTTATTTTTGTACTCGCGAAAGTCGCAAAAATGATTTCCTCGCGAAAATTAGTTGGTTTACAGTATTTTTGCACAAAAGTTGCACACTTTTATGCGGTAATGTGGTTAACCCTCTTGCTGCCGGTAGTTTTATATGATTGCATTTCTTGTGCCAGAAAATACGACAGCTGGACGTCACATTCCCAACAATGACGTCACGCCCTAATGACGTTCTATTGGGGACATATTGAAGAAAAATGTTACACTGTTTAATCTTCGGTATTTTATTTGAAAGAGATACAGCAAGAATGAGAAGGGTCCGTGTAACACTTATCAATTCAAAATTTTAATAAGTTTTCAAATTTTAGTTTCTTGGAATTTTGATCAAAGTTTTAAAATATCAAAATTCCAAATTTTTGAAAATTTTGGAAATTATGAAATTTTCACCAAATAATTAAAATTTTAAAACTCTAAAAATCATTTTGAAATTTGATAGTTTAAATATTTGATCAAACTTTAAAAGTACTAAACTAAACGTGCAGTTTTGATTATTTCGCTTTTTGAAAGTTTTATTTTTTTTATTTTTGACTAAGATATTAAAAAAGGAAAACGGGCGAAAAGAGAACTTGACATTCGTAGCATTATCGCTTTTAGGGAACCTCTAAAAAGCAAAATGGAATAAAAGCGGAACGAAACGAACGGAACGAAAAGAAACGAAACAAAATGAAATGAACAGTTTCTGTTACTTAAATGTTAATGTATAAAATAAAACAAGAGGAAGACAGTTGTTAGTAGTGAAAAATTGAATAATAAAATAAATATTCTAAAAAGCGGAGAATTCATTTTAAAACAAGAAACACGGCTCTGATTATGATCATTCTTAGTTAGGAATAAAAAAGCACGAAATAAAATGGTTCAATACACGTGTATTCCCTCAAATTTGATTTCAGATTTTGTTGTTTTGCTTAACGACTTCTTACTATCTGCAATCATGTCGGCAGATGAAATCATTGAACGTTTCCTATTTTTAATGTCTTAATCAAAAATCAAAAAAATCAAACTTTCATTATTTATTTCGCTTTTTGAAAGTTTGATTTTTTTGATTTTTGATTTAGACATTACAAATAGGAAAAGGGCGAAAAGAGAACATACGTATCATTATTATGTTTGGAGTACTTGTAAAGTGCGAAATGGAATAAAATATTTCACATTGTTGAAGTTTCCATGGCAACGGCGGCCATTTTGGAAAATTCCAAAGTCTCATCTCGAATTACCAGATACCATTTTTAATGAGTTTCATTAAGTTAAGAACATTTTGAATTTTTTGGACTTTTTGGCTGTTTCCATGGTTACAGTGTCTATTTCGAAAATTCCAACAACAGCTCCAACATTAACTAAAACCATGTTATATATTCATAAAGTTTCTTTGATCTCAATTGTAAATTTTTGTAAATTTTTATAGAAAATGCAACTTTTATGAGTTTTCCCCATAGGGTTAATGTTAAACTTTCGCCCTGTTTTCATGACAATAACAGCCATTATGGTACTTCTAAATACTGTCTGCACATCAAGGCATACCAGGTAACATTTCCATAAAGTTTCATTAGAATGGGTCTTAGAATGAAGGATTTAGAATTTTGATTTTTTTTTACATTTTTTTAGTTTCCATGGTAACCGTAGCCATCTTGCCCATTCCAAAGTCAGGTGCAAAACTTCACATGGTGGTCAACATTATTGCATAGTTCCAACAAGATTGCTCCTTGTTATTCTGAGAAAAAGCTTGGACAAAAAGTGTGGAAGAATAAAAATAATAAGAAAAAAAGAAACGAACAATAACAATATGTCACCCCAACTCCGTTGAGGGTGCCATAATGAAATGAACAGTAACTGTTACTTAACAGTTAATCTATAAAATAAAACAAGAGGCAGACAGTTATGAGCGAGCGGTGAAAAATTGTTCTTTAAACAAATTGGCCATCACATGAGATAACAGTATCCTGAAATTTTTAAAGTTTTGCATCTATTGAAAAAAAAAAAACTCAATTTTTAAACCTATTTAAAACTGCTTCAAACAGATTGATTTCCTTTTAAAAAATCTCTAACATAAGCTTAGCGTTTCAGATTATTAATTCAAGACTATTTGGTTTTCCAAGCGCCCATCATTTAGGAGTAACAGTGAAAACTGACCAACTCTTAGTAAACCAAATAGTATGGTAGGGTTGAGTATATATGTTCTAATGTACGTTAAGCAATAAAATGCTTAAATACACGTGTATTCCCTCAAATTTGATTTCAGATTTTGTTGTTCTGCTTAACGACTTCTTATTATCAGCAATCATGTCGGCAGATGAAATCATTGAACCTACATTTTGAACGATCATCTTTAAACTTTTATCCACTATTTCGGTTCTTATAAATCATTGGCCTTCAAATATTTGGCTTTTGAGCGTTCCTGATGAAGTTAAATCCAGAAAAGCGCTTCGGACGCATGCAATTTTTTTAAAGTGTTTTTTTTTTTCTTTCATTTTTTGTCGATTGCATGACGATCATACATTCCTTTTATTTGATTTTGATTTTTGGTGTTTTAACGCCACTTTTAAGCACCGCTTTTGGGCTTTTTCGTGGCGAACAGTTTGTATTGGTGGAGGAAGCCGGAGTGCCCGGAGAAAACCACCGACCTTCGATAGGAAAACTGACAATTCTTGTCAATTAAGATTGGAGTCGAGTGCACCCGCACGAGCGGGGTTCGAACTCACAACCTCAGTGTTGACTGGCTAGTGATTACAGTAGTAACTACTTAGACCACTCGGCCACCGAGGCCCCTACATTCCTTTTATCATTGAATTCAATTTTAAGTATTGGTACGGTAGGAATACTGAATCCATGGTGTCGCAATGAACGTTGTGCTAGCCTGGAAAGTGGGACATTGTTGTTATGTATTTTACACTGCTACCGCTATACACGCTGAATTTAAGAGTAATATCAAATATTAGTAGCTTGAATCCAGGATAATGTTAAAAGGTAGAACGTTAACATCCAACTCAGCGTGGTGGCCTTGTAAAAGCTGAATACATTCATACCATATAAACATATAACATAAACATTATTTTCAGCCTGCATATTTATGCACCCAACTATTCATGTGTCAGTATTTTGATTAATGCATGCCGTCAGTTAATATATGAGCAACACTATGTTAATTATTAAAATGATTCAGTTGTGAGGTAGTTTGATAATAAAATATGTTTTTGTGTTGTCATTATAATTGTCTTCTTCGCTAGCCAAGGGTTACGATCCAGTCCGCTCCTCTCCAAGGGACTGGATAGTAATCCTTGGCTAGCGAAAATGTATAATTGCATATACGTTGTGTTTTTTTCACTTGGAGGGGGCTTGCAAATGCTTAAAATTCAATATATTTTAAAGTTAAAAAGGAACACTGTTTAAACAAAATCGTAATTTGAAATAATTTTTAAATGTTCATATAAACGATAAACATATCAGTCAGGATTGTACTTCGTCAAAATATTCTCCCCATTACGCCACCTAATTTTTATAATCGTAAAAATGGAAGCCATTGTAGTGATGACGCGCTGTCAATTTAGTTCTTGAAAACCGATAAATTTATCCACATAGAGTCATTACGATCCTTATATGCCTGTTGTATTTTGAAAGATAAATGTATCTTCTAGTTAATGAGCATCATTTAATGTACTTTTATGCATTTGGTCAACTTAAAACTATTGTCTGATTGGTTGTCAAGGGGAATTTTA